AACTGTCTGAATGTAAATGGACCATGATGCTCCCATTTGTCATCCTCATGTTAATAKAACCACTGTGTGCTTCAGTGCTTATATAAATTCTTCTGTTGATGGTGTACAGTCCAATCAGACATGCAGTGTGGAAGCTGAGTTTTTAAATGTTGCTTTAGCTAATTTTTTGTCTGAACAAGATACAGCTGTCTATAACTGTTTTCCTGCTTCATTTTCCCCAGTATGAATACAAAATCCTGCAAGAGAAGAGCCATCAGGACTGAGGGATGTCTGGGACTCCATCAGGCCTCTGTTCAAACATGTGGTTCAGCTGTTCAGACAGCATCAGTCTGTCAGCTCAGGTCTAATAGGCTGTAAACATCTTATTGGCTCCCTTTAGCTAATGGGGGACAGTATTTCTAATCAGTTCWTGAAATGCCTTTTTTCACAGACCTGACTTGAAGTTGACGAGGACAGCTGAGTTTGTTGTGTAATCCTTCTTTTTCAGTGAGGTTTATTTCTGTTTACCCAGAACAGGATTAGTTGGGATGCTAATCAGGTCAGAGCCTTTGGCACCTTTGTGCCAAACAGTTTCCTGGAGTCAGTTCGTCTATCAATTTGCTTCACAACCTACTGAACTTAGGACTTTAAAAAACACTTAAATATGTGGATTAGATTTGTTTMTATGTCATCAGCTCCTGTCTCTGTGAAGGGGTTTTGATAGACTGCTGATAGGTTGTTTAAGGATGRTGGATTTAAAGTGATCTACAGCCACCAACATGTCCAGAGGTCCTACAAAGGAAACCTAAACTTTATGGATTTGACAGGAAATAAAAGTAATTTCTATCAGACCACTGGCTTGTGTTTTGAACATAGTTGAGAGCCTTTTAAGCTGTTTGTTTAAAATGAGACAAAAACACAACTCCAGCTCCAGTTAGAGTAAAAGTCATTCAGAATGGTGGGAGAAAATCATCCTGAAAATAAATCAAATGTCTGAACTAAGTGAACATGGAAAGCTTGGAGTTTGGAGAAAAAATATCTTCAGGTCAGATTAAATTCTGGCTGTATTTGAAATGTTCACTTGCTCAGTAACTACATGGTGGTCAGGTCACTATACAGTAAATACGGGACAGCTTGGAGTTTTTACATTTTGAACACTACTTGAATGCAGTATACTTCATTATGGTCGAGTATTAACAATCAACTTTTTCTCTGTCTTTTTTTACAAGACCACAAACTGCAAGCTGTAACTAACGATTGAAATGCAGCTTTCTTTATGCCGTGATTTACAATTTTTCAAACATATTTCATATTTAGACTTACAGATACAAATTTGTCTGTCTTTCCAGTAAAGAAACACAAAATCACAAAAGCCCCTGAAATAACTGACAAAAAGAAAAATGACTACAAATCAACTGATAAAGATCAGTCATTTATTTTGAATGTTGGTTCAACTGAATTATTAAAAAATAAATAAAATAATCAAACTGCTCTTAATAAATAGGATGGTATCCTATAACTTAATATTTTGTTGTACAATATTTTGACCCTTTTTGTAACTTTTGTCACTTTCAAGGACCTTTGTAGCATTTTACTTCTTTGATAAAGGGGTCCAAACAAATTTGTCTACATGTGTAAATGTCAAATAGGATCAGCTRATGTTCTTTGTAATAATTTCCTTGCAGGAGATAAAGGAGATGATCTGCTTTTTATTGTAGATGTTTGTGTAATTAAAGGCATTTTCAACCATTCTGAAATTAGGCTGCTGTCTTGGCTCAGGCCACAATGCATTGTGGTCTAATTTTACCAATTTAATGAAAAACATTTGTATGCGCCTTTCATGAACTACTCAACTAGTTTCCAGGACACCTGTAAAACATTACAGGTGAAATTTAGAACATTCTAACAAAATGGCAGATTCAGAATTAAGTAAACTACAGTATGTAATGAATGGGTGGATATTTTGAACACAGCCTTTTTTTTTTTTACTGATGGGCAGCTGCTGAGGATCTCATCAGTTTTATGTATCATCATCAGCCAGGACTAACAGAGCATCTGATACAATCATCTGCTCTGATTCTGAAGCAGGTGTTTGGCACTTGGTGGRTTTTGTTCACTGTGAAGGAGTGTTAATACTGTGAACGTGTGTCTGTGTGAGAACTGTGACACGACCATGTATGAGATTTTTTGTAATATGTGGTGAAATGGGTTTGGAAAAATAGGTTAGTTACAGTTTAAAATAAATCAAACAGTATTTTCTCTTCGTTAGGAAAGCTCCTTGATAAACGTTTGGGAAGAAATGTTTTCTTGTAGTCACTAAAATTATTGTCACAAAAGTATGAATTGTATGGAAAAAAAATTCTATTAAAATAAAAAACAGCATGATAATTTGAGTGATATGTCTGTTATGGTTTTGCCTGATTCTACTTGATTAACATTTTTCAGCAATTAAAAAGGAAAGAGCAGTGCAGAAATCTGACCTATTCAAGATGATAACTTGACAAATACAAAATCTACTCTGTTCTATTTTCATTACGTTATTTTCTATGTTTCAAAACAAAAACTGAAAGGCCTAGCATTCCTTTAAGAAATGCATATTGTGAAAATATCTATTTAACAAGGACAGAAATACATGATTCAAAGAATAAAGGCACTTCATAGAATGGTCAGATGAGGTTGGTTGGTTGCAGTAAACAAGAACTCAGAAATTAACATAGAGCCATCAGCCTGTTAAGATCTATGCTAAAAGAGATCTAATGGCTAACTTTATATACTGTTCCAACATCCAGGTCAGATCATGATGTCACTTCCAGGCACAGGCCAAAAGGAAAAAAAACTGATAAATTACAATGACAAGTGTGATTACTCTCATCAGATCTTGTCCAGGAAATAAAACATCCTTATCTGTTGATAACCAAAAGAACAGGATAAAACTGTGACCTGATGTCATCGGGTCTGTTGAATATCTTATAACCTAACCTTAGTATGAACAGATCAACAAGGATTCCATTTCAACTCCCACATTTGATCATAAAATGATCAGATGGGGGAAATGAACTACAAAAAATCTTTTAATGTATTAAAAAGGAAAATAAACAAACGTATAAAAAAAGAAAAGAAATGCAACATCAAGAATAATACAATTATAATGAAACAAAATCAAATTAGTGGAGATGTTTTTGGAGGCCGTATAGCCCAAGCCTTTAGTCAGCAAGTTTTAGGTTTTCCTCAGACTAGTGGCACTACTGCTGTTTGAACCTGCACTGGGTGGTCTTCGATGACCAAATTCTTTCCCAGTTTGAACCATGAACCCAATAAATAACTATAAACACCTAACAAATAAGAAAACAAGACAATTAAAATTGAGAATAAAACCTCTGAAATAAATACCTCAAAGATCAGTCATAATTTTGGACTTTAAGGACAGGCTGGTAGAGAGTACAGTCACCACACAGATCTAGTTAGTTTCCCAATGCCATCTAGTTCAATCATAAAATCATCAATAGAATACAAATTACACAATCACGATAAACTAAATCATGGAAGAAGAACATCAAAAGAAACTACCCCCCCTCTTTTTTAAATACATCACAGCAATGTAGTTCTAATCAATAACATGTTATGGTGTTAAACAACACTTTATGAAACAAGGTCAAGATGTTCCACCAGGAAGGGTCACTCTAGGAAAATCCCATCAGGTCAGCTGAGCAAAAAGCCCCTTTTTTATCATGTTGGAGCCAAGTTACCTCCTCACTGCATCTTGTGCATTTCTAGGGTTTACATAGAATGGTAAAAAAGGAGAAAATATCCAGTGAGCAGCAGTTCTGTGGGCACAAATGCCTTGTTAATGCCAGAGGTCAGAGGAGAATGACCAGACTGTTTGGAGCTGATAGAACGGCAACAGGAACTCAAATAAACACTCGTTACAACCGAGGTCTGCAGAGGAGCATCTCTGAACACAACTCGTCAAACTTTGAAACAGATGGACTACAGCAGCAGAAGACCACACCGGGTACCAAAATTGGACAACAGAAGATTGGAAAAATGCTGCCTGGTCTGATGAGTCTCGATGTCTGCTGCAACATTCGGATGGTACGGTCAGAATTTGGCCTCAACAACGTGAAAGCATGGATCCATCCTGCCTTGTATCAACCGTTCAGGCTGGCGGTGTTGGTCAGAATAAAGTACCACAAAGTGATACTTGAGTAAAAGTACAAGTATCTTACCAAAAAATAACTTTGGTAAAAGTTAAAGTCTCCTTTAGGAATATTACTTGAGTAAAAGTCAAAGTATCTGATATTTTTTGTACTTAAGTATTAAAAGTAAAAGTATTGATTTAAAATGAGCAGTTAGATTTTCTGTAAGGACATTTATTAGGAGGTGACCTCCCAAAAAAAATGCAGAAATGACTGTTGTATTAAAATAATTAATTTATATTAAATTCAGGATGCACTAGTCCAGCTGTTTCAGTTTATTTACATACAGTATATCGAGACTGCACAAACCTTTTCTCCAAAATGAAATTCTATCTGAGGGCTGTGGCCAAATACAATAATATAATTCATGAAATACAAATACTTCTTAAGTACAGTCCTTTTATTTTTATGGTTATGTCCTGCTGGAGTGTGACATGATTTGTTTGTGTACGAACTAATACGGTATCAAAATTTTATGCATTTATACTTCTCATTCAACCACAATTAAATTCACTCTATGTAGGAGGCACAATTTATATGGATAGTTTTTATTTTTTATAATAACAGCTGGAATGAAAACAAGCAAAAATGAAATAAAAGTAACAACTTTCCACTTCTTGCCTTTTTAAAAAATTAATGAGTAGAAAGTACAGATAACTGTGTGAAAATGTAAGAAGTAGAAGTAAAAAGTAGGCTGAAAAATAATTACTCAAGTAAAGTACAGATGCCCAAAAATTCTACTGAAGTACAGTAAAGAAGTATTTGTACTTAGTTACTTTACAACTCTGGTGTTGGTGCAATGGTGTGGGGGATATTTCTAGGTTGGATATTTCACACCTACTGCGTGATGGTTTTATGTCAATATGGACCAGACTCAGGAATGTTTCCAGTACCGTCTTAAATCTATACAATGAAGGATTAATGCAGTTCTGAAGGCAAAAAGAGGGTTCAACCCGGTACTAGCAAGGTGTACCTAATAAAGTGGCTGGTGAGTGTAGGTATGATAGAACCTCATAAATATAAAAAGAAACATTGTTTTTTTAACAATTAAGAGTCAAAAACTATTTATATATTGTTTAAAATAAAAAAATAATAAAATGTATTTCCTCTGAATAAGGACATCCAGTCTAAAACCAAAGTTCTCAAATGAGAGGTTTTGAGGTTATATTCATAGATATACAGTATTTATATAGTTAATTAAATAATTATATAATAAGTACAAAATTAGGCAGCACAGTGGCACTGTTTGTGGAGCAACATGTTGCCTCTAAGAAAGAAGGTTGCTAGATCAACCTTCTGGGTTGTGTTTATATGTTCTCCCTGTGCATGAGTGGGTTTTCTGCAGGTGCTTTAGTTTTTTCTCACAGACCAAAACCATATTTATTAAAACTAGTATGTCATGAAAAAGCTAATAAAAGAATAGCTTGGGACAGTACACAGTAGATATAGTTTGTAATTGTGCTTGTTTTAGTCTTTCATTCCAGTTTTGGGTATTTATTATTAGTTTTTGTTCATAAAAGTAAACAACAAGCAAATAAAACTGATTTAACACACATAGAAGAGGTGATGTAAATGTCTTTAAAATGTATATTTCAACTTTTTTTTAAATAAAATGACATGCATCACAGAAATCATTTGTGAAGGGAAGTGTCCCCATCACATTTAAAATGTAATTAATTTGAACTCCCACATTTACCTTGAAATTTTACTTCACCTAGTGCTGTCTCTATT